CATTCTTCCATGAGAAACGGCATTTCGGCTTCTCTTCCTATGGACTCCTCTTTCAAGGATGGTTCAAGACTCATGTTGTCATGGCTACTTTTCTTTCCTGGTGGATGAACCCAGCCTGACCATGAATCCAACAAGAAATTGGAGCTAAGGGACAGCGTAGGAACAAAGGGTGACAGATACAAAGACATGAACAGAGAGAAACAGAGGGAGACAAGAGAAAGAGAAAGCAAGGTGGAGATGAAGAAAGAGGGAGCCAGAGTCAGACTAGATAACCGTGTTCAAATCCTCAAGGGATGCCATGTGTGAAGCCAGACTTTTCAGTTAATTGAAGCAATCCGTTTATTTTTGGTCACATGCTGCTGAAAGAGATCTTAACAATGGATCATTTAATACGCAAGTGGCAAGAACATTACATTCATGCAATTCAGCAGAATATGTACCGTAAACACGTTCAAAGGCGTACTGAAAACATAAACTCAGAATATATTCACGTAGGCCTGCTTAGAGCATGTGAAAAAAATTGGAATTTATAGGGGTTTACTATTCCAGTGGTTACCCAAGGGCATGCAGCTATGGAGGTGGAGAGAAATAATTGGAGACAATTTCATGTTCTACTTGTGATCTGATGGCATTTTTTATAATTATCAGGTATTACTGTTACTTTTGTTTTTTAATATGTGAAGATTAGAAAAGAGGCTGTTAGAATAGATCACAGGCCACAAACCGGGATGAGGTGAACCAAGATCAATGTGAGAAATAGTCCACTGACAAGAGACGGTGAGGGCTGCTTTAGAGGGAGAACTGGAGGTATTTTGTGTGAAAGCAGAGAGAACACACTGGTCAGAAAGATTTCCACATTCCCCACCTTTCTCTGACCTCACAGGGAACTCCCAGCACCGAAGCCCAATGTTCTCAGCAAATTGAGGAATGTGCCGTCTCAGGAACACTTTCAGCTAAAGGGCTATTGTGGGTGAACTTGCATTTGAGAAGGTTACCTCCTAACAAAGGGGAAATTGAAATTTAAAATGTCTATTTCAGAAATTAATAAAGGTAAAGGCTTTCAATCAATGCAATCGACCATCCTATCTGGTCAGCACCAGGCCCTATGCTTTCTACGTAACTAACTGTTAATTGTTCGGTAAAAATTTATTTGTGTTTTTCTTTTTCATTCTCAATATTTCTCTCTCTCCACACAGTCATGGATGCTCAGATACGTACGTCTATATATTTATTTTACAAAAACAAAATTATGTTAAACATTGAAGTCTGAAACCTGTTTTTTTCCCACATTAGTGATATTTTCTAGGACAGAACACAAAACTATTGCTCATAATTTCTAACAGCTGCATTATATTCCACTTTAAACCCTAGTACTCTGTTAGGATACTTGGTTGGTTTTCATTCACCACAGAATTTTACTGAAAAAAGAATCAACTGTACTATAAAGCTTTTCATGTAGTTTGGATCTCCCATGACCCATACTACATAGTATATAATGAATTTATTTTAATTATGCTTAGGAAATTATTTGTAAGGAGCCATTAAACTTTCATTAACAGAATTTATTTCCCAAGGCACCAGGAAGCATGGTGAGTTGAGAAAGGTAGTTGGGAAAATTTAAAGGACTTCTGCATTTTAGTTTGATCCAGGAGTCTGCCATCTGGGGAGAATTAGGAATCGAAGTGAGCATTCTTACTCAAAAGGCTCTACCCTGTATCAGTCACTCCAGAAGACTCACATGGCAGCTCTAGGGAGAAGGACAGGCGTGTTGCCAGGAATCACACGGCTAGCAATGCCATCGCACCTCGCTGAGATGCTCACTCTGTGCTTTGGCCCATCCCAGTGGAGCTCAACTGTCAGCTGAGAAGGACACAGCAAAAATAGAAGCTAGATGATAAATAAAACTGCACTTTTCCAGGCTAAAGCGCTGCTCTGCAAAATTCCGGATGGGCCCTCCAACCTAATAAGAATATCACTTTGGGGACAAGGAAAGCTACAGACAAGGTGGGGGCAAGTTGTCCAAGCTTCCAGAAAAAGGCATAACCAAACAAAACCATCTCATACCTTATTTATTATGGTAATGGAGTTTTTAACGTCCACCTTCAGAGAAAGAAATGAAATTACTGGCAGCAATGCTCAGAACATGCTGACTGCTCCATTTGTTCCATAATGTTTACCAAATACTTAAATTGGTATCCATGCTTACTGGTTGGTTGATTGTCAACCTCCCTATGAAAATGCAAGTTTCATGAGGGTAGGGACCCTGCTCTTGTTCACAACCTTGAGCTTTCTCCCACTGTGGAAGAAAGGGACATTCAAGAAGAAACTATAGAATTGGTTTCAATCACAGGTGCAATGAGTTCTTTAAAGGAGAAAAATGGGTTTGATGAGGTCAGAGAAGACTTCTACAAGGAAGAAAGGATTAAGCTAAAATATGAAGGCAGGAGAGGCGGGGGCAGAGGAAATTTCCAGGCAGAGGGAGGAGCCAAAACTCTGAGCATAGAGTACGAGAGAAAGAGGAAGAGGAAGTTGGTGAGGGTAGCCAGGGCCTCCGGTAGGGCTGGGAAGGGCTCACAGAGAGGTGGTGGCTGTAGATGTGAGAAAGATGGTGAAAACCATACAGGAGTCTGGCCTTGATCCTCAGGGCAATGAATGGCCACTGAAGGATCTGAAGCAAAGGAGCAACAGGACCAGAGCAGCCCTTTTTTTTTTTTTTTTTTAGTTAAATCATAGCCATGTACATTAATGCAATCATGGGGTACAATGTGCTAGTTGGCTATCTGATCTTGTGAAGGGTCAATGAATCAGAGGGGGATAAATAAATCTGGAGACGACATTTAGGAGGGGGTTGCAGTGATTTGTGCAAGAGATGATATTAGTTTGGACTATAGCAACGGAGATGAACAGAGTAGATCTATCAAGGAAGAAAAATTAATAAAACTTGTTATTTAAACCTAAGGATTAGAAAGACCTTATAAAGAATAACTACTAGGTTTCTGGATGATGCAGCTGCAGGAGCAGCTATCTGCTATGGAGATCCAAATGGTTCAGATAGTTAAGAGAAACTGAAATTGACAACAACACCCACCAGTTATTCAGAACTACAATGCTATAAAATAGGTGCTATCTCCACCAATTTTAGAGATAAGAACAGTCAAATTTATAAAGGCTTCATACTGACTTGTTGCCATTTTTAGAGCCGGGATTTGAACTCAAATCTCTTTAGTTCTATAGCAGAGGGTTCTTAATGACCAACTCATCCTGCTTTGTGACCACTCAGGCCTACTCAGGGAAAGTTTCCTCATGTCAAAAGAGTCCAAACATAAATCTGAAATTCTGAGGCTAAACTTTCCTAGGGAAACTCCAGACTTTCTCTCAGGGCTGCCCAGATAAAACATTCCACACTGAACAGATGACTCTCTATCTTCTCCCACTCTTTACTCCTAGGCGTTATCTAAACCTCAGGGTTACCTCTGGCTGCCCTGTCTCCCCAGCCTCGCCTTCTCCAGGCTCCTGTAATACTTCCCATATTACTACTCATCTTAGAGCCAATTATATGCAGGTTACCCAACAGAATTTCCATAGATTCTCTACTTCCTTATATTTTATTTTCTATAATGTGAACTTTCATGCAATGTATTCTAATTATCTTAAAAAGTCTTTCATATACTGAAGTCAGGTTATTATAAACAGGTTATAAAGACAAATTTCAAACTATGACATGTGATGAGTTTGGCTGTTGGCCAACAGTTTGATTATACCAGTGTCACTATCTCTAGCTATGTAATGGAGTCTCATTATACACGCATTTAATTTAAGCACACTCAACTATATGTTCTTGGCAGAGTGAAGAGAATGATTTAAACACAGGAAGCCATTGCATCTGCCATTCCAATCAATCCTCATATGTCCCAAGAGATAGGAGGAGATGGATCCACTGTCTTATCAGGTGGCTTCATGTTGTAAGCACCTCTCTCAGTATGAGTGATTCTCTGGGAAGACTTATTTTAGTGTTTAAAGATACATATTTTAAGTATATCAAAAATTTCTAATTTCACTCACCTACTTTTCCTAGTCTTCAGTTAAAAAAAATAACAATGATCTATCCCAAGATTGGAGGAAACTGTGGGTGTGTTGGATGGCTAAAGACCAAGTGAGAGGTCATTCCTGGTAATTCTGATAATGTGGAATCTGCACCTCACAGTTTCTCCTGGTAACTATCCCCTTAGATGTGACTACACTGACAGCAGCATATATTTTTGTAATCATCTTTTTTAAATTGCATTCTTCCTTTACTATCAAATACAAATGAGCAGAAATTAGAAAATAAAAAGTGCTGATACAAGGGATAAACATACATCTCCAACAAAGGAGACAAAGATGGAAAATATTAAGCCAAGTCAAATATAAATGTAAAATTAGGCAACATGAATCAAATTCTAGACTCAAGTCCAAAACCCATGCAATTACTGGAAATTTTATTATCATCTATTAACCTCCTGGAAAAGAATCTCCACAATGATGTGCACATACCTAAACATGTATAGAACTCTTAACTTAGACATGTTTTCAGGAAAAGGTCATGTCCCAAACATAGGGCACTGTCATTCTGAAACATCCCTGCTGCCCTCTGGGAAGATGTACTAATTCCCTCAGAACTGTGTTAGGCCATCAGTACAAAATTTAGTGCTTTTCAGTAAACTCGTATATACCTCGTTTAGTGCTCTTCAGTAAACTCGTATATACGTTATTGGTATATATTGCTATTTAGATTGTAAGCTCCCTGCAGGCAAGTTCTAGGTCTTACCAAAGACCTTAAAGAGAGGCCTGACTACAGTGGAGCCCTTTGCAATGGCTGGAGAGTAAATGAATAACTGAATTATTAAATTCGCTTCTCTGAAATTCATTTCTTCTAAAGAATTAAAGAAAAAAAAAAGACATGGCATAATATCCATCAGGTCATCATCTCCAGCATGGAGCCCATTAGGCACTGTCCTTACCTGTCCAGGGAAATACAGCACAGGTGAAAAATCGACGCTGTCGTAAGCAAGACATCTAGAGATGTCCGGATAAGGCAAAACATCTCCCCATAAATCCAGATGTCTTGAACCAGCTCAATGGCACCAAAGGGCATCACCAGCACGGAAACCAGCAGATCCGCAAAAGCAAGAGATACAATGAAATAATTGGTTTTTATTTTCCTGTGAGTGAAAAGGTATAAAAGGAGGGATGGGGAGAAGGGGGAAGAAAGCAAGAGAGGCAACAGGAAAAAGGGAAGCAAAGAAAGAAGGAAAGAAGAGAGGGAGGAAAAGGAGACAAAAGTCACATGTTTAGTGTACTCAGTGAGATTCCATTCCCCTTCTGTAATGTGGTGACCTTGCATGGTCCAGCCTCTTCTCATTTCTCCAGCCCCCTCTTGTGCCAAAAGCCCTCTCTTCCTCTCCCTTCTGGACACCCTGGCGTCATCTGAGTTCCCTGAGCACATGGCTCCCTCCCAGTAAGTGGCTTCTGTACCGGTGCTCTTTCTGCCAACCATTAGTCCAGTTTGCAGTTATCTGACACCTGCCCCTCAGTCTTTGAGCATTCCCAGGGAATCCTGCCAAAGAGTGCCCCTCACAAACTGTAGTCCCATTTCACCATTTTACTCTCTTAGATGGACTACTGTGTGCCACACATCTGTGACATCAGTCAGAATTGCACTTGTATACTTAATTTGCATTAGCATTGGATTAGTGTGTGTCTTGCTTAGAAAGGAATGGCTTTCATTATCCCCTTTTATGGCCCAGTGACTCTCCTCCCAGGGTGAACACTTGAATCACCTAGTGAATTTTAATGAATACTGATGCTCAGGTCTCACTCGAGATCAATTAGTTCAGGAACTCTGAAGGATTAACACCCCACTCTTCAAGGATTGCAAGATAAAAACGCAAGATGCCTGATTAAATTTGAACTTTAGCAATGAATATTTTTATAAGTATGTCCAAAATATTGCATGGGACATACTCATACTACATAGTGGTACTATTCAAAAGTGCTTCACGTGATTCTAATTGTCGGCAGGCTGAGCCTAATGAAACAGAAAGGGAAGACCCAGGTTAGTCTCTTGTCAGCCATCTCTTCCCTGAATCTTTGATAAGACAGAGAAGTTAGATTTGATGTGTCTCAACAACTGTATACATAGTGACCACAACTATTTAACAATCAAATATGACATTGACAAAATGACAGAAGGAACATATACTAAAGTGCTTACACTGGTTCTTTGAGAGTTCCAACATTATGTGTGAACCCCTTTTCCTTGCTGTATTTTTCAAATACTGTTCCCATGAATGTTTTCCTTCTTAATTACAAATTACAGTAGAACCTCTGTAAGTGGACCATCCAAAGGACTGTAACAAACTTGTCAACACATGGAGGTGGTCAACATAAGGAACTGGGCCTACTCTATGGATATACATATATGATGCATATCTGGTCTATGAAAATTAGGTCAACTTAAGGAAGTGGTCAATGTAGGGTGGTGGTCAACTATGGAGGTTCTACTATAAAATAAAATGTTCAGACTCAGCTCTTCAGGGAGAGCCTGGAATTTCACCCATGTTTCCTCAAGAGGGTCCCGCGTGCTGCTCACCTGAGCTGCCTGTCCCGGCACACAGCCACCATCACCAACAGGTTCCCCAGGATGGCCATCAGGATAACCGCTGAGAGAAACGTGAGCAGCACAACCTTCTCCACTGACCCGAAACCCTCCTTGGAACTGGAAGACATGACACACAAGCACAGAGAATTGAAGGACACTTGGAGACACAGGAAAGAAAGTTCACCTTTTCCTCCTTGATCTTCAGGAAGGTAATTTCACCATTGGCAGCTGCAACACACATTTGTCAAGCACCTAATATATGTGAAGGTCTCAATTCGTCACTTGACATGTGACCGTGGGTAACTCCTACATAATGAGGAGGAAAAGGCTCCGAGAGGTGAATTAACTAGTCTGGGATGGCACAGTTTTCCTCCATCCAAGGACTTATGGCTTTCTTTCAGAGTACTTAGCTCAGTTTGTACTTAGACATTTGGCTGACTCTTGTTTAGTGTATGTGCCCACCTAGATTAGAAACACTGGATGAATAAATGACAGTAACTCGACCCAGGGTTTGCCCAAAGCAAAGCTGTCCTGTCTTCACTGTCCCATTCCTGCACACGTGGAAGCTGCTGTTTGCAGGTATGCTGCCCCAGAGAGAGAAGATCATGGATGAAGGTTATTTTTCATCAGTTCACTTGGACAAACTGACCTCATTTTTTCTGTGAAGCCTATTGAAGGGACAGCAGCCATCAACAAGCTCAGTGACTCCTTTCACTGTTTTGAACCACATTTCTTTTGGTACCCACCATATGCCATTGTTTTCCCAGTTCAAATTTGTGTGCTTGTCAATTTCAGCTTCTGATTTGATTCTACAAATGTTGCCTTCCCCATGTGTACTCAGCATTTTGTTTTATTAACTTGGCAGTGAAGATCTTCTATGCATGACAGTATATCCCCAGGTTATTCAGAAACTATAGAAAATTATTTTTTTTATACTGCAATAAAACAAAATAAAAAGGAAATTTCAAAGAATCTTATATTTCCCAAACCCAAACCCCACATTTCAATATGGAAAAACCAGGGCCCAGAAATGGGACCTGAGTTGTCAGAGCACTTTAGTGGCTAGTCTGAGAGGAGCTGTTATCTTGAGATCCCACCACTGAGAATACGGGGGCCCATGAATTGAGAATTATCTGTCTTTCCTGAGCTTCTGTGATTGAAAATTGAGATGGCCACTGGCTCCAAACAATAGTGGCCTGCCAACTCCTGGCCTTATCCCAAACTTCTTCCATTTGGCTAGCACAAAAGACAATATTTTTATGCCAGTTAGAATAAGGAATTGGTCTTATAGGGGTTGGAGAATGAGAAAGTCTTTCCACTCTGCTGAGAAGTGTTTTTACAGATTTTTTGACTGAAGTGTTCAGGGCTAGGGTTCAGATGAAAAGAAATCCCATGTGGGGTCATCTAAATCATCCTTCCACACTTAAGTTCCAACTATCAATAGTTCCAACATTGGACATGGAAGATTTAATTCAATGAGGAAAAAGATCCCAATAGCCGATGTGGCCACCAAAAATTAATGTGACCTTAGGCTGTGTTAATTTAGGTGGAGCGTGTAACAAAGGAGGTGATAGTGGTTCTTTCCTTGTCCTTCCAGAGGCTCTGACTCAGAACTCCTCAAGGCTTATGTGCTGGATGTGCCTTCTTTCTGGGATGCTCCTTGACTGGCTGGCTTCTTCTAGTCATTGAGGTTTCAGATTAAATTTACTCTCCCCCTAAATATGTGTCATGGCCAGTAAATATTTTTCATTTTCTTTATAGCATTTATTGTTATCTGAAATCACTTTTGTTATAGATTATTGGCTGTGCCTCACCCCTACAGATGGACTTGGCTATCTTTTCAAAATTCTCAGTGCCTGGTATAGAGTCTAGTCTACAGTATGTGTAATATATATGTGTAGACCAGAGGGTGGGCTTTAAGCAGTGTTCCTAATCTTAGCTGCATATTCAAACTACCAGAGGAAACTTGAAATATACTGATGCTGGGGCTCCACCCTCAGAGATGCTGATTTACTTGATGTGGGTTGCAGCTTGAATACAAGAATGTTTTAAAGTTCCTAAGTAATTCTATGCAACCAGGATTGAAAATCACTGCCAGAGGGAGTGGAGGCAGGAGGTAGTAGTGGAGAATTCATAATGACTGAAGATGACCTGCAGCAGCTCCCTGGTGTGGGGAGTATTTCAGAACACCCAGATGACAATGAGGTACTACTGTACATCCATCAGGATGGCTATCATTAAAACAAAATGAAACAAAGGAAAAAAAAAGAAGCCTCAGCATGAATGTGGGGAGATCGTGAACCTGTATTGCTGTTGGGAATCTAAAATGATGCAGCCACTGTGGGAAACAGTTTGGTGATTTCTCAAAACATTAAATATTCTGTACTTGTAGAATGACTACATGATCCAGCAATTCCATCCTAGGTATCTAAGCAAAGGAACTAAAATCAGGGATACAAACAGATGCTTGTCTACCAATATTCTATAGCAGCATTATTCACAGTAGTCTGTAGCAGCCCGTATAGCTTATGGCTAGGGGGAGTGAGAATTATAAGAAATATCTGTGTAGCTCAATGATGGAACACCTTGGTGAGAAGGGCATGGAGAGGGACTTAGTTCTAACAAGCATGAGAGAGCTCACGAGATGAGAGCAGTGGTGAATTGGCAGTCTCTACACCTGTGGAGAGGTTTCTTGAGAAGCACAAGATCAGCCTTATATTAGGCTAGAGGAGAAGGCAGTCAGGGAGTGTGTACTTTCTATCACGGACTTGCTTACTCTGACTCTGTCTCCTCTCCCGCCTGCAGAACGCCAGCATGGCGTCTCTCTGATGAAGATTACCAAGCTCTGCTAAAGACCAAGATCTATTTATTCTAAGAAGACTGCTTTACTCTCTCTCTCTCTCCAGCTAAGGTAGATAGCCCTCAGGCATCTAAAAGAAACTGTACCTGAGCAAGGTAGCTTAGGGATCCATGTCCAGAACCTACTTAAGCCAGGCCCAAGACCTGGCCAGTCCTGGGCCCTGACAGTAATCCAAAGGTGGACAAAACCAAAGTGTCCATTAATAGAGAACTGAATACATGTTGGAATTTTCTTTCTCCATAAAAAGGAATAAAGTTCTGATACATGCTACAAAATAGATGACTCTTGAAAATGTTACTCTAAATGAAATAATTCACACACAATAGAATGAATAGTAGATGATTCTACTTATATGAGGATCCTAGAATAGGCAAATTCATAAAGACAGAAAAATAGAATAGCAGTTATTAGGGCTTAGGGATAGAGGGGAATGGGGATTTATTATTTAATGGGTTCAGAATTTCTGTTTGGGATGATAAAAATATTCTGGAACTGGATAATGGCACACTATAGTAAATGTTTTCAATATCACTAAATCATACACTTATATGATTATTTTATGTATTATGGTAAATTTTATGTTGTTTATATTTTATCACAATAAAAAAAGAATACATGAATGATCACACAGCAGGATACTACTAGGGCTCCTGTATGGGGAGGAGGCTGGTCTGGCTGCTTTTAGGTCCCTTTTTTGTCTGTGTTCTATGATTTAAACATATCCCAGAACCCTCATCATTAGAATCATCTTTCCTGTGCTGCCTTTTCTCTTATAGGAGGAAAAAACAGATTCAGAGTGTCTGTGATGAACATTGCTGGCTCTGGAGAATGTACATATGTATATTTCAAATCAAAGGAGAACATGAGGGTCAGACAGCATCAAGTTCAAGTTCAGTAAGGTTCATTTGTGGTATGACAATTAAGAGCTAGAAATTGCTAAACTTCAAACTATGAGTGATGAGCAAAATTCAACCACAGAATTCTTTTTTAATTAGGTTGAACTGTCCATTGGACCAAATGTAAGGCCAGTAATGATAATTAAAATAAACTAGTGCAAAATCCACGTTAGAGCCTTGGCTTACCTCTGATCCCCCCCAGGAATACTGCCAACCACTACCAGGCAGCTCTCATCTGGCCAAGGAGCTGTCCACTTCACTAAATTGGTTCCCTGACAGCTATTCTTATGAGAACTGCTACTTTCTCTTCCTTTTTTCTTTTTCAGTGACCTTTTGACTCACTAATAAAGAAACTTCACAAGCTTGCAGCCTGTATTTGCCATTTTTCTCTCAGCTTAATGAGAGAAAACATAAGGATGCTAATTCTGGATGAATTTCCATATACGTTAGTGTCTATAAAAGGAGACTCCAAGTGATGATGTATAACACGAGTATTGTTAATAATATCAGAAGCCCATATAGGAAGAATAGGAAAGGAAGTCTTGGGTTATGTTTTGTTATGCCCACATACACACACCCACACACACTTTTTTGAGAGTCAAGAGTATGTTTTTTATTGGTTTTGTTAATTGTTTGATGTGTGACTTCAAAAATATACCTGCCTTCGCTAAGCCTCAGTTTCTTCATGGAAATCAATTGAAAAAATCAATTGAAAAAATTAGGCTGAATTTCCTATTCATCAAATATGTAATTGAGTGCCAACTATACACCAAGCACTGTGCTGGATACAACAGTAAAGAAAATGGACAAAATCTCTGCCTTCGTGGAGTTCACCCTATGAATGGCAACAGGAACAGGTAATAAGCAAGTGTATGATTAAAGAAACAAGTATAGCTTGTGATCAGTGATTCAAAGTCTTACTTCTCCAACTTTAACGTTTACATTAACCCAAAGGATCTTCTTAAAAGTACAGATTCTGATTCTTTAGGCCTGGGGCAGAGTCCAGGCCTCATTTCTAACAAGCCCTTAGGCATTGCTGATGCTGCTGGTTCCTGACTCACACTTGGAATAGCAAGACCATAGAAGGCATAAAGATGAGAGGGTGACAGAGAACACAGTGGGTTAGCAGGAAATGTCATGTAGTCAGAGGATGCCGGAGGTGGCGATTCAGCTGGGTTCTAACATGCAGAGGATTCCGGAGTTCGAGTAACCAGGAGAAGTGCATTCATTCAGAAGGAAGTGAAAAGGCCCTTGGAGGAGAAAGACGTAGTGTTCATTGCCAAAGCAGAATGAGCGAGGGACAAGGCATTTGCATTGTGCTCAGAAAAGTCATCAGGAGCCAGACTCTGAAGGCTTTGCTA